CATCAATGTGCACATTACTCTGTATTATCGATCCTTCGTGGACATAGCACGGAACGAAACCAAAAATTGTGCACATGGCTACGTAGTTCCAATGTGCAGATTTTAGGTCCACAGGTGGCGTATCGCTTTCGCGGATCACGTAAAACCTGGCCGTGGCGTCTCTCAGGCTTCTCTCTGTTATTATTACCCTTTTTCCTAGTTCTAGAAAGATCACGACGTGCCCTAGTGACCTTCCGGCGAGCGGCCGCCGCCTCCTCACACCACCAATAGGAAGACTCTCTCTTAATTCCTCCATTTCGTGGCATAGAGATATCAGAAATCTCCCTCAGCAAATCGCACAACCAACGAACATGAGTCTGCGCAGAGGCCTCGTCCGACAGGCTAAAAAACCAGGCCATGCCGATAGAGCTGGCAAGTAACTTATCTGAATTCAATTTGTAGTAATTCCATCTAGGAAATTTTTTATTAATGGTCTTAAATTTAATTCTAGCCTGACATGGTCCCACAACCAATCGTACCAACTTGTGATCAGATAAAGTAACCGTATCAGTCTCCACCACACAGCTTCTAATCACAGCCTTGGCCGATCTATTGGCGAGAGCTAAATCTATGACCGATCTGCCCTGCCATCTCACGCAAGTATAAGTAAACTCCTTATTTAATAAATGTAGATTAACCTCCTCCATCCAATTATTGAGCAAAATACCACGATTATCCATTCGTTTCGGATCCCAGTTTACGTGTCTGGCATTAAAGTCGCCGAGAATTAATATCGGGCAGTGTTTATATTTATTAATAATAACTGATAAATCATCAAGAAAACCATTGAAAGTTTTATCCAACATATTACGTGTATAATAGCAGCTGAAAATTACTATAGAGTTCCACTTAACAGCGCAGAAACCGCGATCGCGTTCTAGTGACTGCATAGGCAAAAACATACCGTGAACTCTACGCCAAAAAATAGCAGATGTAGGAGGGTCATCTAAGGAATGCACCCACCTGTCGTCGTTATCCGGAATAGAATGTGGTTCCGTCATTCTGTAGATAGTTACTATCCTGGGCTCAGATTTATCGACTGCGAAGATTTATGTTCCTGCTGAAAGAATCACTGAATATATGCAAATGCGAATAAATTTTTTTTTTTAGCTTTAACAAAGAAGGACCATTCACGTTCGCGGCGCACATTAATCTATATAAGCTCTTTGGTTGTGACCACGGAGTAAAATAGGAAGGAGCAAAATCTTCATAGACCTTTTTGTTTTAAAAACGGTCCTTAATTTTTTTCACCGGTAGAGATGCTGTTATAGATGAAGACCTGACCGTCTTCCGTGGCGCGAATATTTGAATGAACTAAAAAGATCGAATATTTAAAGAAGAAATTTAAAAGAGTACAAAAGAATATAAAAATATATTATTTATTTTATTGACACAATATAAATATGTTTGAAGTAAAAACAGTAAAAAATAACAATTATTCCTTAACTACATGTAAAAAATTCGACAACATAAATACTCTATTATTGTAAGTTAAAAAAAAGTTTTATAACTTAAGCTAGCTTAGATTGCTTTCTAAAGAGTTTTGATTTTTCTCTTTTAGCAACATTTATGTCATTGAATTTTTTGCATGCAAAATACATCCGGATTGTTAAATAAAAATTCATTATAGCCACGGTTAATGAATTTTTATAATCAAGGCACCCAACTTTAGGAATATCAATGATTTCGAGCATATCGAGTACTTCGAATAAAATATTTTTATTTAAATCTCTTGATTCCAAGACTTTTGTCACCGCATCTTCTAATGCAGAGCATAAAGTAAACATTTCATCAGAAGGATGCAGAAGCCCGCCTCTGCTTTTTACAATAATAAGTTTGTCCCTTTCTACAGATTTTTCTGCCATTATATTGAGAAGAGAATGCTCACATTCTATACAATTTGTAAATGTTTTTGTCTTTCGCGCAACATAACCTGCTACATACGCTTTCACAAAATCAGAAGTTTGTTTATTGGTATAATCGTGATCGTATGAAATCATTGAAATATATACCATACTGGAACGAGCACGCCTTTGTTCTCGACCGGTCAGATGGAGA